TGAAATATGTAAAATTTATAAATATTTTTCATGAAAGATTTAATTGAAATCGTAAGATGAATATGTTCGTTGTAGTATATAAATTTGTGATATATATACTTGTCATTCACAATCAAAAGATATTTAACTTGATCGCAGATGTGAAAATAATTATGATATAAAATAATATAATATCTGAAATAACATTTCAAAAGTAATTACAGACATGGGAATAATCATAAAATGAAATAACATGTCAGTCGAAATATTAAAAAAAAAACTATACGCATGGAAATAAATATGAAATAAAAGAACATATTATTTGAAATAATATTTCCAAAGAATGTAATTTTAAAAGTGATCACAGCTCATGGTAGTAATTATAAAGTAAAATAATATTTAAAAAGTGGTTATAGGCATGGAAATAATTTTGAAATAAAAGAATATATTATAATAATAATAATAATATTATATCATAATAAATACTATATTATTTGTAATAATATTTCAAACAATGTTATTTAAAACGTGACCAGATCTGGACGAGGGCAGATTATTTCCTAGCTGGGGAATGCACTGGCATTTTCAGCTTATTTGTTTAATTGCTAGGGAGTATCCCATTTCCCGTATCTCCGTCGTGTAACAGGGACTTGGCGAATTAACGGTGTCTGTCATTGGATTGTGTAGGTGTGCGTAAACGCGTGCGTACGTGCACGCAAAAGGATGCCGGCACGCATGTATCTCGTAGTCTCTTTTAGAAGACCGATCCAGACTACGATGGTTATGTGGGCGCATATGTGTGTTCACGGTTGCACATAGGGTGCTCCGAAAGTACAAGCTCAAAATATCGTACCAATGTTCGAGACTAAAGACTAGTAGACTTCATTTGCACAGACATCATAACAAATGATCATTTGAGAGAGAATTAATTACAGTAGAAATTCAGTAAATTAACTATAATTATCTAAACCATTATTATATATATACTATATATATACTATAATTATATATATATATATATATATATATATATATATATATATATATATTTAACTATTATTATAAATTAGTAAATTAACTACAATTAACTATAACTCTGAATGCTCGATTATACAAATATGCTTCACACCTGAACAGCTCAACCTATGTCAACTCATACGCAAAAGGATTTACCGTGTAAATTTATAAAAGTAAAGTATTACTGTTAAGTTGTTGTTGCATTAACCAAACATTCATGTCATTCTACTTAAGTTGGATAAGCCTAGATCGAAGTTCTATCTTACTTCAAATATTTTGTCTTTTTACTTTTATTTTACAAATAAGAAATTGATTTAATTTTTTGTTTATTTGAAATGAACAGTTTTTCAAGGAAAAGACTCAGACATTATCTGGTTACACGTTGCGTGAAAAAGATCGTACATTAGTTTGTTTGAACATACGAATTATTTTTACATTGCTCTATACTATTTTCAGAAATTATTATTTGGTTATTTGGAATACGTATTTGGATTGATTTTTTATTTGTCTTTTTTTTATTCGATCAAATATCTTTTTGAATACATTTTTGGTCCCTGGTAGCCAGAAAAATCAGCTAGATTTGCAGAGCTAGTATGCAGAGCTTCTATTTATCCAAAATGATATTGAGTACAATTTCTCATATTCTGACTTCGCTGTCTATTTTTTTTCTTATTTTTCTTATGAGACAACTTTGAGACACCCTGTATATGCAACCGTGTGAACGTACGTTATCGCTGGTATACGCACGTATATCTGCTGACATAAGTACTTACCTACTCGCCCGAGTCCGCAATTCTGTGCTCGATTGTATCTTTCTTGCAAAACGTTCGCTTTTCTTACGGCTTAAGAAAGCAGATCCAAGGAGAACCGTGAAATTGATTTGACGTGTCGAACACGTGTTAATTTCGCGATTTAAAAAGCGGTCTCACCTCGCTGGCCATAATTAAATTCACAGTTCGGCCTTAATGTTAACAAAAAGAGCGCGTCACACAAAAGTCAATGTGTCTGAGGAGTTATTCTTTCTACAGCTTTTCCAATCCAAATTAATCATTTCGTCGATGATGTTCACCTTTTTGCACTCTAACTTAATGCTTAATTTTTTCTAATTTCTTGGACTGTCTTAACGCATGCTACATAATGTTCTTCGAAGAATTCAACAATTTAGAAATGAATGAGAACTTGTACGTACGCGGGGAAATCAAACAATATGAGCAATATCAAAAAATATGTTTTTAGAATCATTTAATCATAACATAAATTTGTGTTTATGTCCCGCTGATTTATTTCTTTTCTATAAAAGTACAGCATAGTCCAGAAAGAATTAGCACTGGAATATCTCCGGTATTTTCTAAAATATGAAAAAACTTTATTAACTTAATTATTTCAGCATATGTATGAAAGTCTGTTTATAATAGGACCGTAATCATTTTTCTACAACTGGTGAAGTTTCGGAGATTTCAAGGTCATCTTCACTTTTTTAAATAGAAATTGAATAGCAAAAATAAAACAGTATTTTTTGAACATCGTAATTCGCATAAACGAATTAGATTACCAGACAAACCACTAATAAGATTAGAATGAAAATTAAACGTCTTCAAGATAATTTCTTTTATAAGATAAATTTTTGGAACGGGGTATCAGCACGCATTAATCGACAACAAAGATTCAATAAAATAGAGGATTAAATAAATTATCCGTCGTATAATTAATTTATTGTAACAATCCGTTGAATATTTAATATCTGAATGAAATAATAAAATAGAAACACGTACAACATTAATAATCCATACTTCTCGAATATATTCCTAGAATTCAGTGAGTAATACTTATTATAATACAATGAAATTCTTGCACGGTCGATAAAGAGGTCATTTACCTTACCTCAAGCCGCGTTTTCACTTCGTCGACATTTGTCGATCGACGGTGCACGCGGCATCGTGATGGCTTCCGTTTCGACTTTGATCGATGCTGAGTGGCACGAAAAGTTGAACGACTATAAATCGACCTATCGGCTTCGTCGCTCCTCCTCATTCCACGAGACGGCTCGAGATAAAAATAAAGAGCAGTTATTTGAAAATAAAAATGTCGGTTCACTTGTGACAAGACGATTTCATCTAATAAATTACTTCGTTATTTCTTTATTTCAAATCGGCCAAATGAAATAATCCGCAAAACAATATTGAACGAAAAGATTTTATTTCATGAAATCTTCAGAACAATTTGTAGTTCAGAATTATAACGTTCACGCGGTAGACGCGCCATGTCGCTGTGCGGGACTCCCGCGCATGGGTCGCCTGCCCCCACTCTTTGCGTCGTTTGACCCCACTCCTCGCGTAATTTATTTTCGCGTGTACACTGCGGAGGACTCGACTAAACGTTCCTCTCTTCTCCTGGCACGATTCCCTTTGATATTTGTTGTCATTAGATAAAAAACGAATCGGCATAGCGTCCGGCTTCTCAAGTGGAATTGTATTCTTCCCAAGTGATACTGAATATGAACATCGAATACTTCAGACTTGTTTGTATTTGCCCACTTCCTTTCTCGATCGTCGTGTGCCGACGCAATCGGAACGCCGATTTTACCAGGATTGATTCATTCGAACGACAAAGCCACCCGACAGTGCCGATCGGTAAAAGCCGGCACAGTGGAAACGCGCCTTTAACTCGGCGGAAGGCGCATCCCATATCGTTACATAGGTTCTGGAAATATTAAAAATCATAACTTTAGAATACTTCTTTTAACTGTATTATTTTTATATTAAGGTGCAGTGTTAATTTAAAATGCGAATAAAATGTAAAATATATCTTAAAATCTTTATTAAACCCCTTTCAAAAATCATAACAGAAACCCAAACAGTTTTCTTCATTTCACTTGGTTATTTCTGTGATAAATTTTACCCAATAGCGCCTCCCGCCGAGTTAAACTGCCTTCCGGATGTAGAAAATTAAAATACAGGGTGTCCCGTTTTCTTTTCGTCGAATAGTACAAATATGTACTACGCGAATAATAAATATGAAATAAATATTACGCAAACAACTCTTTATGAAATTGAAAAATTATAACAAATAATCTAACGTAACAACGTCTCACATTCAATCTTAATTCTGTTATTTAATCGAAGTACATTTATTTGTGGACATTAATACAGTAAACAAGAATAAGAGAAAGGGTTTAACAAAATAAAAAATCGTTGCAATTAGAGAACTATTTGTTCTTGTAAATACTAGATTCAATAACCATGAAAAATTGAATTTTGCATTAGGAATCTCTCGTCGATTCCTTTTAATTGCAATGAAAGCATAACAAATTATTTCTGCTAAAATGAATACGTACATATTTTCCTTTGAGAAATTAGTGGACAGCTTGCAATGACCTTGGGTAATAAGCGCAAGCTGTGCAAACAGATTAGATAAACATCGTGTGTTTGTTACTACGCTGCAAAGGAAAAACAGAACCACATCGCGTCGTATTTTCCTTGTCAGTTTTTAACGTTTCAATTAATAAAAGAAAAAAGAAGAAAGGGTTGACAAAAAATTTGGCACAATCATCGCGAAGCTCTCCCTTAAACCATGTTATTTTAGCTCAAAAAATGTTCAATCGAACCACAGAATAAATTAAGCTGATTAAAACGGTTTAGCCGGTTTAAAACAGTTAATTCCGGAACTTCTTCAAGCGCTGATTAAAACACTATAAATGAGTTAGTAGACAGATTTTAAACGTGTCGAGACAAAAAGATAACTTTTGCCAGGAAAATCGGACACATAGCCCACTGTGCAGTACACGTTTCTAAAGAGACACCCGAACGGTCCGTTACTTGTATCAACCCTTTACAATGGGTGCCATTTTAATTTGAAATCCAAAATAATGTTCCTAAGACATAGTACTTCCATTCAATATAACCCAGAGCATTTTATACATATAAATTTGAATTTCGTGGCTCATACAAGAGTTACATTTTCAACAGATTCTTAAATATAAACAAATTTGGTAGGGTCAAAATTATTTTGAAACGTGATACAACAATATCTAATGTCGCCTTAGAGACGTCACTCGAGTTCAAAGGGCTCCGAGCTCTAAATGCAACCAATGTACATCCGTTGTATACCAATGTTTATAACAGTCACAAGATCGGAGTTATTTAAACCGCATACGGTTTCTATTACAATATATGGTTGATTAAAGAAGTTTATCTAAAAATTACTCATCAGAAAAATCAGAAACCAGTCACTTTCACTGGTTGAATAATTCCTAGTGTTAACAATATTACGTACCGTTCCGATCAAAAATGTTCTTGCACGAATTTCGCGAACACCATATCAATTTTCCTGCAGCGAACAATTAGTAATTAGTAAACAATTTAGAGCAAACCGGGTCACGCGTTAATTCTAATTTAAAAAAAAAAAAAGAAAACCTAGTGCGCCGAACTTTCTCGATCCACTGTACGGTTTGACCCGACTGATATGGGGGAGGTCAAACCGGCCGGCGAAAAAAAAGAAAAGGGAACTCTAGCACCCAATCACTGCGCGATCGAGCATCCTATGGCACACAGACGTATCGCACGCAATCTCGTGGCCACACACATACACACACACACATGGCCACGGTATCCTGCGTGTCTCATCGGTTTAGACGGGGGATTCTGTGGTAACAATGTTTGTCAGTCGACGCGTGACTCTCGCCGGGTCGCATTCCAAAATTGCCGTTGGTATCGGACGCGCGCGCGCGTGCGCACGTCGGCTACTTCGTCGACCGGTATCGGAGTCAGAGGTGTCGGTTTAATCGGCTAGTCGGTGATCGAGGTGATCCGTGCCCGAGTCTGTTAGTTCCGGTCGATTTCCGATTCGGATTCATAATTTTCGATTCTCGATTCTCTGAGACCTCACGGTGCGGCCATGTACTGGAGACTGTTCGTCGTTCTAGCAGCCATGGCCGGGGCTGCCAGGGCCTGGGACGTGGTGAGCGGTCTCAAGTACAAGCTGACGACGACCTTGCTCTTCAACGAGGCTGCCCCACCGAAGACCAGCGGGGACGTCGGCTTGCGACTCACCGGCGAGCTGAACGTGACCGCCGTTTGGCAACAGCCCACCGATCACGATACCTTCTTGCTCAGGATACAGGTAGGAGAACACTTCTTGCTAGACCTTCTTTATGCAGGCGCGAGTCATTGTTGTGATCGCGCCGAGCCGGTTGCGGTAGAGCAATTAGAGCCGAGGAGGGCTCTTGCGGGCATAGTTGGGCATTATTTAAGTAAATGTTTCATTGAAATAATTGTTTAAATGAAACGTTGTTATTTGGACGTTTAAGCGAAAGACAAAAATAATTGCTTATTATTTATATGGATCTAAATGAATCGTTTAAAATAATAAAATTCTGTCCTATTTATAAATACTTTACTAAATACTTATTTATAATTTATTTATACTAAATAGATACTTATTTATAATTTCTGTCTTATTCAACTCAAACTTTGTAATTATCATTTAATTCCTTATTTATTCGTTGCAATGGTGCACCGAATGTAGTCTGGGAATAATGTTTTCCAATCGGTCTAAACACCAAACGATAGCATTTAGTTCACGAAGAAAGTCGCAAATTAATATTTATTACACGATGAACGAAGAGAAATAAACAAAATTGCCTATTATTTGATTTTCCCTTAAATTTGAAGAAAAAATAACATTTTATTTACAAACCTAATATACAAAATATCTATTGTATGATATACAACATACGAAAGAGAAGCAAACATTGTTAGTTATTTAATTTAAAAAAAAAAATATAATAAACGTAGAGTAAGAATAGATCAATTAAAATTAAAATGATGAATGATCTGCACGTTGTGCAGATAAATCGAATAATTGTATTTGTTTTATAAATTGGTACGAAAGCAGTGCATGCAAAAAAAAACACATGAACGATAAATCAATTCATTTGATAATTTCCAGCACAAAAGTATCTTTGGAGCAGCGCTAATTATAAATACAAATGGTTCTCCTAACGCAAGTACAATTTTGTGTACAATTTAAGTAGTACCAATAGACAAATGCAAAGAATATTTTTGTGTCTAGATCATCCTTTACGACTATTTTATTATTACTTATACAACGGGTGATCAAACAATTAATAGCCGTTTAAATAAATTTATGAGTTTATATTAAAGTAATGCATTTTTCTCAACTAATAAGTTCTCTTAAAGTAAATTCAAGCTGATATTATTGTAATTATAAGTCAATGCCAACTTATGTATACCTCAGCCTATTTCTCACTGGCACCTGAACATCAGTTATCGAACGTAAACATTAGTTCGTTGCCACATAAGACCATCTAATATTCTGTATTTCAGTTAGTCATTACCGAACACTCTGTATCTTGCTTATTAATCATTCTAGGCATTCTAACCTTTCACCCTAACCACAGCATTATCATCCCTTTTTCATGTACCAACATGTCATTTCAGAAAAACCTACACATTCTCCCAATGTTCCGACAAAATATCTTCTAAACCAGGGATCAAAATTAGGCATTATTTAAGTAAACGTTAATTTAAATGATTATTTAAACAAAAAATGATTTATCGTTTGGAAGTCTAAATAAAAACCTAAATAAATTATTTCAAATAATAGGATTTATTTTTTATTTATAAACAAAATTTCAGTTGTTACTTATTAATTATTATTTAATTGCTTATTATTATTTACGTAATTGTCACAACGCAACGCATCGAGTTCACGTCATCGTCAGTATACACATACTTTTATACTGGGTGACTTAAAGATTTTTTGTAATAAATTTTTATGAAGAGCATGACGAGCTAAATCATTTAGTATAATAAAAACTATATGATTCCATTTAAAAAAATGAACCTTCGTATATCCTCGACGCGTTCGCCTAGAAAAATTGTATTAATATCAGACTACATGACCCCTAAAAACCATTCAAATTTCGTTTGAAACACAATTAAGTATCATCGATGGTTTCGGAAATATTTGACTGGATCGATTTAAATAGGTCACCCTGTGA